TGGAAGACTAGAGGGGATTCAAAAAAAAAAAAAAAACGAAGAAAAAGTTTTGCTGACAAACCTTTTGGGTGGCTACGAAGAAGGAGTTTGTTGCAAATAATCCTGCTCCCACAAAAAAGCTAAGAGGTCATAACGAGTAAAAAAGGTAATCCTTACAACGAACGAAACAATTAAGTCAGCTAATCTACATTTTATATACATTAAGAAACTTAAATACTCATAAAACAAACTTGTTTCTAGCAGAGTTAAGTTATGAAAGCAATATTTCCTGAGACGGCGAGGAAAGAAAGGTCGGTTGGATTTTTTTACAAAATGATTCGAGGACCATGTACGGTTCTACCGCCATCCCAAGGGGGAGGAGGTCCTCCCTTGCCTCTTCCCCTGCAGGGGTACCAGCGGTGCGGCTCTTTCGCAGATTCAGTAGCAACTTATGTATCTACAATCTAAAAGACTGCAACATTTTTACAGAAGGATAGGTATCAAGACTGCTTGATCTGTGTATGTGGGTTGTCATCAAATAAGACGTAATATCCGCAAACAAAGGAAAACAATTTCTTAAATCAGACGGCAATGAATTCCTAGACTAGAGGGTGTTCAATAAACGGGAGGTAAAGTGTCTCTTCTTTTGTAGAGTGTCTGTGGTCCTCTTGTTTTTCTAAAAAGCATATCGCGTTCTGATATCCTCCAATTTCTTGGAAACCTGTAGGTGAAAAACGTGGGTGAATTGTTACCGTAAAATTCCGAAAATAAGCCCCTCCATGTATAAGCCCCTCCAAATATAAGCCCCCCAAACCGGTAACGTAAAAAACCCTCCGTTAAACCGCCCCTCCAAATATAAGCCCATGGGGGCTTGAAATTGGAAAATTGCCTTCAAATACAAAGTATAACAAAGCAAAAACGGTAAATTTACTTCGAACTATAAGGCTAGCCCAATCGATTTTGAGACGCAAATTTGCATCCATAGATAAGCCCCTCCAAAAAAAAGGCCCCTCAAAAAGGGCCTTTGAAAAATATAAGTCCCGGGGCTATTTTCGGAATTTTACGGTAACAAAGTCAAAGTCAATCTGCATAACTAGCGTATCCAGGGTTTCCGATAAACAGAACAATAATAATAATTTCCGCAAGACAAGACCTTCCACCCGCCCGTAATCTGTGAGTTCTGCAGTAATCATTTAATAGAAATCACCGGAAGAGCGAATAAAGGAGGAAGAGAATATTTTCCTGCACTGCGGCTCTTCTAAGAGATAAAAAGTGCTGTTTCGTCATGCTGAACTAGTATATGGCTACCAAAATGATGTCTGCAGATTAAAAATTATAGAAGAAAAAAAAAAGAACAAATAAAAAAATTCACCTCCGCTGGGGTTCGATCCAGTTCTTCGGCGATACTACGTCGCTTAGAGGAGTCGAGTGAGTTAAAATACTCGCACAAATCTCCATCGATCACACTCTGGAACACAAAATGCATCAATTTCAAGCTATGTACACAGCAGACCGTTCAAATTTGAAAATGAAAATTACGGGTTACGATTTTTTTTTGGACCAAAAAATTCGACTTCAGCACGGAGAAGTGTCAAACTAGTTTTGCATTACACAAACACCTTACTGTAAAAATAACAAACTACTGAAATAAACCATAGAGGGATAGTTGTACTCTTTTCATGCGCTACTGTACAATAACATTGCAGCTCTGTGGAAAATAAGTGTATTTCTATGTCTCCTAAACTCTGTCCATTGCCTTGCTGCAGTCTTTCTCTAGGAATTCAAAGAGGCGCACTCCGGCTGAGAGCAACAGGGGTGTTCAGGTCAGCGGCAGAAATCACAAAAAGTGACAAATACACTAAATGTGCTACAGTATTTTAAACAAGTAAACTTGCAAATTTGCTTCACATCTTTGCAGATTCCCTCTACCCTATTTAGTTGCTAGTAAAGAATATTTCGATTGCGCACTGTCCACTGAACACCGGTTTCAGTGTAGCAGATAGTCAGTAGGAGGTAACTCCGCGAAATGAGGATGCAAACCTTCACTGGCATGTAGTATGATCTATAGGACAAGTGATCTCTGCCACAAAGAGACGGCTGTTCCGCGCGTAAATGCATCTCAAGATGCTGGAAAAAGTCAATATCCTGTGAAATGATCAAACAAAAATGACGTGATATACACGTGATCACCGCGACCGTCTGGCTAGGCTTCAGCGTGCAGCTCAGGAAAGCAAATCGAATAGAGTAGAAACAGGAGAAAGCATTGAACAGCTAATTATGACGTACTTTACTAGACTATACCTCTGACGATCTTCTGAAGATTTTAAATACATTTTAAGAGTAAATAAAGATAATAAAAAAACGCTTTTCGGTCACTTTATGAAAGGAATTACCAGAGACCATACTAGCCTCATAACATTTAGTTAAGACTAGCAGCATTATGACTGTGATCCGGAAAACTATCACTGAACACTAGCCGGCCTATCTTCATTCTGTCTTGATGGGCTGTTGTTTGTTGGGAAAAGGTTAGATTGTGCACTGTTACTAAAGTTGCCAGGCCACTCAAAATGGCCACGCACAATGTATCTAAGGTGAGTGTGGGCCTTGAAATATCACAGATGTTTCCAGCCTTCTGATTGGCTAAAGTTCATTCTTAACAATACGTGATTAACGTTGAAGGCAAGGTACCCAAGTAAACTGTAGCATGTTACACAGGAAATGATATCGCTAAACTCTTTAAGCCCCGATATCCACATACAAATTCTCCACACTGACCTCCATACATTTTTTAAAAGAATTAGTAAAGAGAACTTGAAAACGGATCAAGGCATTTCCCCTTTGGTGATTCTTTTATCATTTCTCATAACCTTTTCTCTTAATTATGCATCGATATTACTAGGAGAAAAGGGAAGTTGGTCACAGCTGATACCCACCTCTCGAGACGTGAATGGTACCAGCATGCCGATACCACCGGATAATGTTGTGTACACCAAAGACTCTGATCCGCCTGGAATAAGAGTGGCTTTTTGGAGTGACAGAACTGTTTCACCCACATGATAATTACACAGAGTTTCAACCTGGGGGTAAAAAATAATAATAATAATCAATACTAATCAAAATCATAAGGTCACAACAGGGCAAAGAGGCACAAATTTCGCACGGCCAGACCTTAATTAGGTTGGTTTTACAATAAGGCAACGGATGAGGTAGAGGGGCACAATAAACATAGATTAAAAAGAAGTAGCAGTCTCCTTCAATGAAGAAGTAAGGGCAGTTCAAGGCAGAGAGGCTTGGTTATAGACTGTAGAAGCCCCGTGTGGAAACACGATAGCACAACAACGAGTAGTGTGGGTGAGTCAGCTATAAGTCATGAGCTCGTGCCCAGCAGTAGAGACTTAACAATTAAATCACGAACTCGATCTCAGCAGAAGCCCTCAAAGGAAATGGAACAACGGAAGGAAAAACAAAATCTCTAGCTAAAATAAGAACCGCACCCAAGAACTCGGTGATACAGTCTATCATCTTTGATTTACTTATGATACCAAAAGGGCGAAAGCCATGGATCTTCCGCAAATCGAGTGGAGAGCAAGACTGGTGGCCGACAACAACAGTGATGTAGTGCGTAACAATACAACAACGTAAAAGCACATTACCTTTTGCGGAGCGCCGTTTAGAAGTCCTCTATCCCAAAATGCTTTAGTGCCAGTAGGATCTTCATCAATATCGTCAGTCGTGTTGGCGCCAAGGCGAATCTACAAGCAAATCACGCACAGAACATTTAGAAAATGACTGTTATACTGTAGACTACCTGGCACCAGCATCAGCACCAGCACCAGTAGCACCATCACTGTTACCATCATCATAATAAAAAAAGGTGCGGAAAACAATCGCATTTTGGCTTTCACTTAAAACGTCACAACACGTATTCATAACAACCGAGTGCCGCCCGATGTACTCACCACGAATACGTTGCCAAATTTATCGGCCCCAGCTACCGTTTCATAGTCCAGATAACTGCAGCACGTTAACCACCTAAACACAAAAGAGATACACGTGATAAGACGACAGACTACGCAAAAAAAGCGGGAAAGTAGTCTGCAAAAAGATTGCTGTTACAAAGGGCGCAAAAAGGCGAGGAGACGGGGTGGACGGGTTTAGGGTTGAGGGGGAATGCTATACTTCCTTGTCCCTCTCCTCAATCGTTATGGTCGATACTCGAAACACCACAAAAAACATTTTTTAACACCTTGGGTGACGAGGGAAAGAGAGAGAAAGCGACAGCCGTTTATTCATCCTTTATCATTAAGGGAATACAAGTAACCGCTTGATCAACATTATAACCTAGAATCCTTTGACGCTAGCGGGTTTTTCTGCCAGGGAGAGTTGTCGGTACTTTAAAGCAACAATATAGCAATTAGTAGCAAACTTGGTCCATTATTTATTTAAAAGGTCTTGAATTTTCGAAATCACCCATCTTAAATTGGGTGACAATAACGTTTATTGTTCTGTGTGGATAACAGGGTTAAAACAGGCTGATAAAAAAGCAGGAATATTTAAAAGGGTTTTCGTGTTTCCTGTTTCTAAACAGCTCGAGCAAATTTAACCTCTTAAAAAGCGAACTTCAGTGGCTTATCTGTGAATATTTTAGGGTGCAAACTGTGTCGTTAAAGTTTAAGCGCTCTTACGAATATCGATACAGCACGGAAAGTATTGCATTATTCAAGTGACAAATCTAACTATAATCAACCAATAATAGGAGAGAAACAAATAACAAAGAGGCCGGCTAATTCAGCTGCAATGTCAAGGTCAAAGACAGAACCTTTCCCCCAAAACGTAACTTGATTAAAGTACCCCATTCACTTGAAAACATTTCCAAACATCAAAATCAGGTAATAAACTGAAAAGATAAGACTAGGTGACAGAAGCTGTAAATCAAAGAAAGCCTATCGTCAACTCGTGGGAACATTGTTTAGGAAATGATCAAATGGTTATCAACTCTGGTTTTCCCACAGTAAATTGTAACAAATGATAGAAATTCAGATTGTTTATCCATGTACAATAGTTGGTCACAGCTGATACCCACCTCTCGAGACGTGAATGGTACCAGCATGCCGATACCACCGGATAATGTTGTGTACACCAAAGACTCTGATCCGCCTGGAATAAGAGTGGCTTTTTGGAGTGACAGAACTGTTTCACCCACATGATAATTACACAGAGTTTCAACCTGGGGGTAAAAAATAATAATAATAATCAATACTAATCAAAATCATAAGGTCACAACAGGGCAAAGAGGCACAAATTTCGCACGGCCAGACCTTAATTAGGTTGGTTTTACAATAAGGCAACGGATGAGGTAGAGGGGCACAATAAACATAGATTAAAAAGAAGTAGCAGTCTCCTTCAATGAAGAAGTAAGGGCAGTTCAAGGCAGAGAGGCTTGGTTATAGACTGTAGAAGCCCCGTGTGGAAACACGATAGCACAACAACGAGTAGTGTGGGTGAGTCAGCTATAAGTCATGAGCTCGTGCCCAGCAGTAGAGACTTAACAATTAAATCACGAACTCGATCTCAGCAGAAGCCCTCAAAGGAAATGGAACAACGGAAGGAAAAACAAAATCTCTAGCTAAAATAAGAACCGCACCCAAGAACTCGGTGATACAGTCTATCATCTTTGATTTACTTATGATACCAAAAGGGCGAAAGCCATGGATCTTCCGCAAATCGAGTGGAGAGCAAGACTGGTGGCCGACAACAACAGTGATGTAGTGCGTAACAATACAACAACGTAAAAGCACATTACCTTTTGCGGAGCGCCGTTTAGAAGTCCTCTATCCCAAAATGCTTTAGTGCCAGTAGGATCTTCATCAATATCGTCAGTCGTGTTGGCGCCAAGGCGAATCTACAAGCAAATCACGCACAGAACATTTAGAAAATGACTGTTATACTGTAGACTACCTGGCACCAGCATCAGCACCAGCACCAGTAGCACCATCACTGTTACCATCATCATAATAAAAAAAGGTGCGGAAAACAATCGCATTTTGGCTTTCACTTAAAACGTCACAACACGTATTCATAACAACCGAGTGCCGCCCGATGTACTCACCACGAATACGTTGCCAAATTTATCGGCCCCAGCTACCGTTTCATAGTCCAGATAACTGCAGCACGTTAACCACCTAAACACAAAAGAGATACACGTGATAAGACGACAGACTACGCAAAAAAAGCGGGAAAGTAGTCTGCAAAAAGATTGCTGTTACAAAGGGCGCAAAAAGGCGAGGAGACGGGGTGGACGGGTTTAGGGTTGAGGGGGAATGCTATACTTCCTTGTCCCTCTCCTCAATCGTTATGGTCGATACTCGAAACACCACAAAAAACATTTTTTAACACCTTGGGTGACGAGGGAAAGAGAGAGAAAGCGACAGCCGTTTATTCATCCTTTATCATTAAGGGAATACAAGTAACCGCTTGATCAACATTATAACCTAGAATCCTTTGACGCTAGCGGGTTTTTCTGCCAGGGAGAGTTGTCGGTACTTTAAAGCAACAATATAGCAATTAGTAGCAAACTTGGTCCATTATTTATTTAAAAGGTCTTGAATTTTCGAAATCACCCATCTTAAATTGGGTGACAATAACGTTTATTGTTCTGTGTGGATAACAGGGTTAAAACAGGCTGATAAAAAAGCAGGAATATTTAAAAGGGTTTTCGTGTTTCCTGTTTCTAAACAGCTCGAGCAAATTTAACCTCTTAAAAAGCGAACTTCAGTGGCTTATCTGTGAATATTTTAGGGTGCAAACTGTGTCGTTAAAGTTTAAGCGCTCTTACGAATATCGATACAGCACGGAAAGTATTGCATTATTCAAGTGACAAATCTAACTATAATCAACCAATAATAGGAGAGAAACAAATAACAAAGAGGCCGGCTAATTCAGCTGCAATGTCAAGGTCAAAGACAGAACCTTTCCCCCAAAACGTAACTTGATTAAAGTACCCCATTCACTTGAAAACATTTCCAAACATCAAAATCAGGTAATAAACTGAAAAGATAAGACTAGGTGACAGAAGCTGTAAATCAAAGAAAGCCTATCGTCAACTCGTGGGAACATTGTTTAGGAAATGATCAAATGGTTATCAACTCTGGTTTTCCCACAGTAAATTGTAACAAATGATAGAAATTCAGATTGTTTATCCATGTACAATATATTTAATATACTATCTTTGCTCTGCAAACACAATACTTTTCTTTTTGTTTATTGCATTTTATTAAATAACGGTTATTTAGGTACATATTTATTGAAAAAAACAACAAAACAAATAAGCAAACAAAACAAGCCAAAAACGAGAAAAAAGGAAGAAAGAAGATGAAAAAAGAACGGTAGAAAGCAGGACTTGAACCCGGGAACCTTCGGCTGTATGCCACTTATACTTTACCACTACACCACGAAGGCTGATTACATCACTCTGGCGAAAACTCTTTAACTTAATGCGTTATCCATGGAACTTCCGCCAGCAAATTCGTTCAGTATGATCGAGCCGCATTAACCGAGCTATTGACAGTGAAAAAACAATGTCAACGCATTTCATGGCAACGAATGAATAAAATGACATGTGCTTTACAAACCTCGTCAGCGAAGTAGGAGGCAAAACATATGTTTTCTTATCTCGATTTCTGCTGTTATTTTGAAGCTAATGGTCAAAATCACATCCATTTTCGGCCCATACAGGTTCTTAAGAATAGCATGGCATGACATATTCTTTCTTTCAGATCACTTTCCAGCGAGCTGGAATTTGTATATCCCCCGTGATCTTTCGGAGTCAGAAGAGTAATTGCTCATTTTCTCGTCAAGTTTAACGCCTGGGCGAGTCAAAGGCTCTTGAAATCCAATCCCCAAGTTAACCATCGTACTCATTTGAAAGACTCCTACGTGTCTTAAATTTGGTAAGACCTCTAACCGTGCTGTAGAAAATTTGCCATAAAGAAAACTCTGAGTCTGAGCAGCGAACGCCGAACGATGCACGCTCTCAGCGAAGAATTTGATCCCACCGAACTTCAAGAGCGCGTGCTTCTTCGGAAGCGATAGATCTTCGCACTCTCGAGTTCGGACCCGATTAATTACGAAGTCCGTCTATTACGAGTGAGCGAGTGACTCATTTGCATATCTCTGTCCCTGCAATAACTCGTGGTACGCTCGCGCGTCCCCACGAGTTAAAAAGGAGGAAAGAAAAAACAGAAAGTTGTGAAAAATATTTTACCAGACCAACCAAAAATTTACATTTTTATTTGATACTTGCAGATTTCTATTCTTGGCACGGGCGAGTCGCTAATTAAAATATCACAAGCGTAGGTACAAGTTTTTGCTTTGTTACAAATTCAAGGTTTTATATAAATACCTCCAAGATTATATAGTCTTTACAACAAAAGACTCGCATAAAATGGCAACTTTTTCGCAAGCTTTAAAGTGATCAGAACAAGTGACAAATGAAATTCGTACTTCTTCCTTGTTAATTTACCAGTTAACCACAAAATTGGAAATATACAATGTATCTATTGCCATGCAGCTATCCCGTGTGGGTTTCAAGTGTATCTAGCTAAACTTGTTTATAACAAGAGCTAGTACGTGAAATTTTCAAGAGTGAGGGAAATCACAAAAGGGATATTTCATAACGTAAAAACTTGCGAAATTTCCATTAATGAAATTTTGATGCTTTGTCTCAGTGGCAATTTGCTATGAAGCCACAACCCAAGAAAGATGCAATTTAACTGGCTCCTTAACCAGATATCCCATGAAGCACAAATGAAATCACAGCAAGATTGCGTTTTTGAAATGTTGTGGAAAAACTGCCCTGCGGGGCTTTTAAAAAATCTCTTTTTAAAAAGGAAATATTCAGGACGGTACTGAAACAGGGAGATATTAAAGGCAATTTGGCGTGTTTAAACAAATATTTACACCAACGCAATTATATCTTTCCAAGACAGAGCTGAACTGCGTGAAGCTGAACAACAACTGTCAGAGGGCAAGAGAAACTTAGCCGAGCGATACAGCTTGACTTTCTTGTGCTGCAGGTAACTCATAGACTATAAGCTTAACATTTGAGGTTAAAGGCAGACAATCACTTTCAAAAAAACAGATTTACATGTATTGTTTTTAAGTCAAAAAGACCACATTTGCCGGTTTAAAGTACCCCAATCAAGGAAGACTGAAAATTTTAAAAGATTTATTGAACAACGCAGCGTTGATTTAAAAAACAGTCATGAGAAAGAAAGCTACAAAACCCATCAGGCATTCGAAAGATATATGAATAGATTTCGTACATGGCGGCGTAAGCTTTAATCCTTTCCTTTTTATCTAGAAACGGTGGGAAAAATTGGGTGCAAACCACAGCTGTTTACACTGAACAAGTAAAAGAACTTTATTTGCGTAACCACCCCACTTAAAAGTCAAATGAGATTTAAAAATTAATCGTGAAAGACAAAAAAAAAATAAAATACGGAGCAGTCAATCAATTTCGTGCGAACGGCTGGAGGAAAAAAACGTACGAGTTTCACCGTAAATAAATTACAGTCGCACAAATAAACGTTGAATAATTACTGCCATGCACCAACAAACAATGAAACATAAAATAAGGAAAATGCATTTCCAAACGAGAAAACAGCTTAAACGCTCCATGTAGACGGCTGTTGCTGAGGTGTCCCGAGGTGGCATTTTCATTTACGAATTTATAGGTATCTTTTTACCATTACAGTGGCTAAAATGAAAAATGATCGAACCTATTTTAGTAAAATGAAGATAACAAGCGCTTAACTGTGTAACAGTACTGGTCAACAACCTAGTCGTCAGTAGCCACGCATAATAGGTTTTACTAAAATCCAAGTAGTGGTCTATTATCAATGCTGCGTTCTGATTGGTTGAGCTACTACTAGGCTATATGTTAAAGCCTACTAGTAGCGAAAGGCGCGCGCTTTTTGGCGGCAAAAAAGGATTAAAGTCTAGCTTTAACCAGCTTAATTTTTTTTGACCAACTAGTTGGATTTTACTAAAACAATTCGGCCTCATGGGCTATTGACTCAGAGCCCAGTAACCGATAACTATCCAAATTCACTCGATATTACGACGCGATACGATACCTCAAAACTGATATCCACACTGTCTACAAACGACCTGTTTTTAACGTCAAATCTACTAGCTATCGACTCGGATTAACACTCCCAAACAATTCTAAGTTGATTGACCAGAAATCAAAATCATTCTTGCCAAAAAGAGCCTCCGATTTGTTCAAATGGTTTCAGTCACGAAAGCCATTTATTCACTAAAAGATGCATTGAAATTACAGAGTAACCTGTGAATACGCGGCCAGGGACGTTTCGCGGCAAAGATCGTGGAGAGACAGCTGTATTCGCAGGGTAATCACGGAGTCAGGTATGAAACAGAGGCTTTGAAAGTTATGACTAAAGCTTTTCTTTTGTATCAAGAGCACAATAAAGATTGTTGTTTTTGTTGTTGTTGCTTAAGAGCATCATGTAAGACAACACAAAAAGACGTTGTCACCCCATGCAAGGTAAGATTGGTTTCCGGATTCCACGATTCTAGGTACGGGATTCTCAATTCCTTGTCAGTGGAACTTGGACTCCAGATTCCGGATTCCAATTGTCAAGATTCTGATCCTTGAGCTCAATTCTGGATTCCACGAGAAAAAATTTCCAGCCGGGATTCCAGAGTCACCAAACAAAAAATTTCAGGATTCTGGAATCCGGATAACCTTACATGGGGCGGGCGACTGTTGACTATGACCAATGACAGTATCAAACTTAACTGGAGCTAAAGTTGTTATCCTTAATTAGTAAGGAGTTTACGGAACAGGACGGCAGGAGGAAGAGGACGGCATAACGCTTGCGCGTGACCAACATGACAGGGCTATCACTTGCGTGTTTCGTCGTGATCTTAACTTAACATTACTGTTTTCTGGTCATAACAAAGAGATCTGTTTAAAAATAGTTAATTAAAGTGGAAAGGTTGGGAAATCCTTTGTTATAGGTTTTTGTCAGCTTTTTTGTACCTGACCGTGCACAACGTTCAATAGCATTCCTATCATTTTGAAGTTATTGACCAATAGAAACATTGCATTAATTTATTCAGCCAGAATTTGTGAACAGAAAAAAAGGATTGTGCACAGTCAGGGAGCTTCCAACATAACCTAAAGCACCATTACTTTCAACTTTGATGTTTGCCGGGTTTCCTAACCAGTCTCATCTACTAACTATGGTTTAAAGGAGAGTGAAGTTTGGCCAAAAGTTATTGTCACGCTTCCAACACAAGGTTTGCCGTCTTTGTTCCTCTCCCGTCCTGTTGTGTAAGTTCACTAGTGATACGCGCGCTATACGGTTCACTTACCAGAAATCAATATAATTCTAATAGATATGAAAGTTGAAAATCGGTTTTTAGTATCTCTTATTTTTATTACTCAGTCTGTACAACATATAGGACTATTGAACGCACTTCTCTTCACTTTCCTTCTGCAAACAAACACTTAATGGAAAGAAAGCTCTCCAACACAGCTGCCTTCAAGTGCCATGAAAAACTGTCACATTGTCAGTGCTTTTTACAAAGGATATGTAAATGACAGAAAAAAAGAAAAACTATATCGCAACTGGCACCAATGTGAAGTCAATATACGGAGCTAAAAGAGTGCCGTCTGAAGGCGTTAAGCAGTTGGGCACAATTGCAGCATGATACAAATTTAATGGGGCGAGAAAATAGGCGATTATTTGATAAGTAAAATCAGACAGTGCACAACAGGTTATCAAGAAATTGGAGAGAAAAGAAAAGGTTGAAAAGGCTGTTTTTAACTCAAGACGCCCAATAACAGCTTTAAAGTCGGAAAGCCACCGTGAGAAAGCAATAAGGACCTACCAATAAAATAGTAGAATAAAAATGGTAAGAAGCTTACGAAAAATATAACTACTTGGCATTCAAACAGTCAGCATTTTTAAATCAACAGAAACAGCTAATGCAACTATAAAAAAATACTCATTCCACACCAAAACGTTCTTGATAACCAGTCAGAAAAAACAACACGAAATAATTTCAATTTCTACTTTGCAAGGAAAGCTTTAGAAAAACACTTGAACTAGTTTAATTGTCATCCCCGTTGCTTGACGTGTAAATTAACCCTTTATCTGACAAGACACGGTCCATTTCGGGAGAAATTAAAACTATTTCAGATTAAAGTAAATGTTTGGCGAATTTTCTAGCATAAAGCCTTTGATGTTACTCTCATAAAGCAAAGCAAAATTCTACTGTACAAGATTCTATTCTACGCGAAATTTGAAGAAAACTTCGAAAAAACGCGACCGCCATTTTTCTAATTTTCGGAAATTATATTTTATTTACTTTACTTGGAATATGTGTGACTGCTTTCCAAATGCAAAATAATAGCTTCCCTCGATCGATTTATTCGTTTTTTTGCACTGTTGCACCTGGATTCCAATTGTTAAAATCAAGTGACAAATTACCAGGTCAACGCAAAGAAAAACGGAAAATCACTTACTGAGTGTACAAGTGGATCATTAAACCGCGTAAATTCTCTGAAAAGCACATTTTAGGATGAAGGTAATTGCAAGACACAAACAGAACAAAAGCGTGCAACTAAAATACGAAACAAAGCACAGGAAGGGAGAATATCTTTAAATTAAAGCGGAAATCTGCTTAAAAAGATAACAACGTGAGATATTGTCCCCCAGTTTTAAAGATTACTACACAAAACGCAGACTTCTTACACTCATTGAAAACTGTCAGCAAGAAAACTGATTTTCGAGCGATAAAAGAAAAGCAACCAACACATTTAGACAATCATCGATTTGGGGTGACAAGGCAAACATTCTCCCTAATTTATTTGCAAAAATTTGCACAAGATGATATTAGTCGCCAGGAGGACTATATGTTAAAAAGAAACAATAAACTGCGCTCAGTCTAGAATTTATTTCCAAGAAAACAACGTCTCAAGACTTTTAAGGTAAAACGATTTATGTCCTTTGTACAAAACAAACTAGCAGAAGCTAACGCATTCTATTTATTCATTTCCTTGTGTGTTTTATAACAGGGTGTAAACTTCGACCAACGCAACAACAAACGGCATCTTCATAAGAAAAAAAAACCCAGTGTTTTAGAATACAGGTGTTGAACCGGCAGAGTTGACAGCTAACAGTGAAAAAAACGAAAGTTACATGGACAACGTAACGAGAAACTACGGGAGAGATTTAGCAAAGGAAAAAGACAATGTTTCGCTTGAAATGGAACAGACAGGAAGAGCTTTGCATCAAACAGAGACAGGACAAGCGGTGATTGTCTTCTTAACTTTACAAAGCGTGCTTATAATATGCGCCAACTCCCTTGTGTTTGTGCTATTCATCAGCACGCGGTATCTACGAACAAGAACCAACTATTGCTTGGTTAGTCTGGCGGCGGGTGACTGCCTTGCCGGTCTCGTGTCTCTACCGCTTGTTCTAGCATGTTCAACGACACTCGTGGGCGAAATATGTACCAGCATGGATTTATGCCAATATCCACACTGTCTACAAACGACCTGTTTTTAACGTCAAATCTACTAGCTATCGACTCGGATTAACACTCCCAAACAATTCTAAGTTGATTGACCAGAAATCAAAATCATTCTTGCCAAAAAGAGCCTCCGATTTGTTCAAATGGTTTCAGTCACGAAAGCCATTTATTCACTAAAAGATGCATTGAAATTACAGAGTAACCTGTGAATACGCGGCCAGGGACGTTTCGCGGCAAAGATCGTGGAGAGACAGCTGTATTCGCAGGGTAATCACGGAGTCAGGTATGAAACAGAGGCTTTGAAAGTTATGACTAAAGCTTTTCTTTTGTATCAAGAGCACAATAAAGATTGTTGTTTTTGTTGTTGTTGCTTAAGAGCATCATGTAAGACAACACAAAAAGACGTTGTCACCCCATGCAAGGTAAGATTGGTTTCCGGATTCCACGATTCTAGGTACGGGATTCTCAATTCCTTGTCAGTGGAACTTGGACTCCAGATTCCGGATTCCAATTGTCAAGATTCTGATCCTTGAGCTCAATTCTGGATTCCACGAGAAAAAATTTCCAGCCGGGATTCCAGAGTCACCAAACAAAAAATTTCAGGATTCTGGAATCCGGATAACCTTACATGGGGCGGGCGACTGTTGACTATGACCAATGACAGTATCAAACTTAACTGGAGCTAAAGTTGTTGTCTTTAATTAGTAGGGAGTTTACGGAACAGGACGGCAGGAGGAAGAGGACGGCATAACGCTTGCGCGTGACCAACATGACAGGGCTATCACTTGCGTGTTTCGTCGTGATCTTAACTTAACATTACTGTTTTCTGGTCTTAACAAAGAGATCTGTTTAAAAATAGTTAATTAAAGTGGAAAGGTTGGGAAACCCTTTGTTATAGGTTTTTGTCAGCTTTTGTGTACCTGACCGTGCACAACGTTCAATAGCATTCCCATCATTTTGAAGTTATTGACCAATAGAAACATTGCATTAATTTGTTCAGTCAGAATTTGTGAACAGAAAACAAAGGATTGTGCACAGTCAGGGAGCTTCCAACATAACCTAAAGCACCATTGCTTTCAACTTTAATGTTTGCCGGGTTTCCTAACCAGTCTCATCTACTAACTATGGTTTAAAGGAGAGTGAAGTTTAGCCAAAAGTTATTTCAAACAAAGTTATTGTCACGCTTCCAACACAAGGTTTGCCGTCTTTGTTCCTCTCCCGTCCTGTTGTGTAAGTTCACTAGTGATACGCGCGCTATACGGTTAACTTACCAGAAATCAATATAATTCTAATGGATATGAAAGTTGAAAATCGGTTTTTAGTACCTCTTATTTTATTACTCAGTCTGTACAAAATATAGGACTATTGAACGCACTTCTCTTCACTTCTTCTGCAAACACTTAATGGAAAGAAAGCTCTCCAACACAGCTGCCTTCAAGTGCCATGAAAAACTGTCACATTGTCAGTGCTTTTTACAAAGGATATGTAAATGACAGAAAAAAAGAAAAACTATATCGCAACTGGCACCAATGTGAAGTCAATATACGGAGCTAAAAGAGTGCCGTCTGAAGGCGTTAAGCAGTTGGGCACAATTGCAGCATGATACAAATTTAATGGGGCGAGAAAATAGGCGATTATTTGATAAGTAAAATCAGACAGTGCACAACAGGTTATCAAGAAATTGGAGAGAAAAGAAAAGGTTGAAAAGGCTGTTTTTAACTCAAGACGCCCAATAACAGCTTTAAAGTCGGAAAGCCACCGTGAGAAAGCAATAAGGACCTACCAATAAAATAGTAGAATAAAAATGGTAAGAAGCTTACGAAAAATATAACTACTTGGCATTCAAACAGTCAGCATTTTTAAATCAACAGAACAGCTAATGCAACTATAAAAAAATACTCATTCCTTACCAAAACGTTCTTGATAACCAGTCAGAAAAAAACACGAAATAATTTCAATTTCTACTTTGCAAGGAAAGCTTTAGAAAAACACTTGAACTAGTTTAATTGTCATCCCCGTTGTTTGACGTGTAAATTAACCCTTTATCTGACAAGACACGGTCCATTTCGGGAGAAATTAAAACGATTTCAGATTAAAGTAAATGTTTGGCGAATTTTCTAGCATAAAGCCTTTGATGTTACTCTCATAAAGCAAAGCAAAATTCTACTGTACAAGATTCTATTCTACACGAATTAAGTGCTACAAATATTAACACATTTTCTTTAAGTGGAGCGAAATTTGAAGAAAACCTCGAAAAAACGAGATCGCCATTTTTCTAATTTTCGGAAATTATATTTTATTTACTTTACTTGGAATATGTGTGACTGCTTTCCAAATGCAAAATAATTGCTTCCCGCGATCGATTTATTCGTTTTTTGCACTGTTGCACCTGGATTCCAATTGTTAAAATCAAGTGACAAATTACCAGGTCAACGCAGAGAAAAACGGAAAATCACTTTACTGAGTGTACAACTGGACCATTAAACCGCGTAAATTCTCTGAAAAGCACATTTTAGTAGGATGAAGGTAATTGCAAGACACAAACAGAACAAAAGCGTGCAACTAAAATACGAAACAAAGCACAGGAAGGGAGAATATCTTTAAATTAAAGCGGAAATCTCCATAAAAAGATAACAACGTGTGATATTGTCCCCCAGTTTTGAAGATTACTACACAAAACGCAGACTTCTTACACTCATTGAAAACTGTCACCAAGAAAACTGATTTTCGAGCGATAAAAGAAAAGCAACCAACACATTTAGACAATCATCGATTTGGGGTGACAAGGTAAACATTCTCCCTAATTTATTTGCAAAAATTTGCACAAGATGATATTAGTCGCCATGAGGACTATATGTTAAAAAGAAACAATAAACTGCGCTCAGTCTAGAATCTATTTCCAAGAAAACAACGTCTCAAGACTTTTTAAGGTAATAAGATTTATGTCCTTTGTACAAAACAAACTAGCACAAGCTAACGCATTCTATTTATTCATTTTCTGGTGTGTTTTATAACAGGGTGTAACCTTTGACCAACGCAACAACAAACGGCATCTTCATAAGAAAAAAACAGTGTTTTAGAATACAGGTGTTGAACCGGCAGAGTTGACAGCTAACAGTGAAAAAAAAGAGAAAGTTAAATGGACAACGTAACGAGAAATTACGGGAGAGATTTAGCAAAGGAAAAAGACAATGTTTCGCTTGAAATGGAACAGACAGGAAGAGCTTTGCACCAAACAGAGACAGGACAAGCGGTGATTGTCTTCTTAACTTTACAAAGCGTGCTTATAATATGCGCCAACTCCCTTGTGTTTGTGCTATTCATCAGCACGCGGTATCTACGTACAAGAACCAACTATTGCTTGGTTAGTCTGGCGGCGGGTGACTGCCTTGCCGGTCTCGTGTCTCTACCGCTTGTTCTAGCATGTTCAACGACACTCGTGGGCGAAATATGTACCAGCATGGATTTATGCCAGCGATTCCTCTCCATTTCTACCATTCTCCACTTGCTGGTAGCAACTTCAGAGCGCTATTTTAAAATCAAGAGACCGTTTAAATACAACATGGTAGTAACAAAACGACGAGTATTGCTGTTATTGCTTGGCGTGTGGCTTTTCTCTTGTGGCGCTTCTTTTATTCAACTCGCCTGGATTACAGGACCACGGGAAGAAAAAATCAAACGATTAGACATTGCCTACGCCATATTTTGCTTGGTGGCATTAGCTTTTGTGCCATTTTCTATAATTGCCTGCATCGATGGTCACATTTTTTACTACATTCACAAAGAAAAGAAAATGCGTCAAGCTCTCACGGAAAGCAAGCCTCTCGAAAAACAACAAAAACGTCGAAAAAACGATCGGAAAGCGGCGATCATTTACGTGATAATGACGGTAACTTTTGTCCTTGGCTGGTTCCCATATTTTATCTTTACTCTGCTGTGGGATCTGGAGTACATAAATCGTATCCCCTTTGCTCTAACCATAATATTTGTGGTTCTAAAATTCAGTACAGCACTTATCAACCCTCTTCTTTATACGTTTTTTAAGAATGACTTCCGAAAAGCGCTCCAATCATTGATAGAAAGAGAACAATGCTTGGATGGAAGCAACGAAGTCATTACAACCACTCTGGTTTGACACTGATGTCCCTTTTTTCATTAGCGTCAACCATGGAAAAATAGTGTTGAAAAGTAAAAACAGCGTAAAAACCAACCGCATACAGTATCACGACAAGTGAAATGAGAAAGTACTGTTGTTCTGAGCTTTTAGGTCAATGATCTTACTCGATTAATTGATCTGAGTAAAACCTTCGGAAAAACGCACGACAAAAGTACCTATACACTAGCTGTTTAAGACTGAGTCTTCAGTTGAAATGACTAGAAGAGACTGTAGTTAAAACGCTAGGTTTGAAAGAAAACATTAGTAAGATAGTGACTAAATACTCTCACAGGTAAGTTTTCTATTAACGATGACCAACACCAAGATGATTTCAAGTGAAATCTACAAGGGAGTGTATGACTCTTTAATTAAGGGAAAAAAAACTGAATCTCTGACGACACTTCATCGAGAAATTGGCAGAAATAGTCATATGGGCACCAGTTCTCCACAGATATGATTCAGTGCCGCTTTTTCTACACTCGCCTCAGTCAACTAATTTTTAATATATTTTGCTGGACTTGAACCATCGTTAAGTCATTGGCCCCAACCCCATTAAACGTGCCAGTTTGAGCATCAGTATATGGGAACACCTTTGCTTTATCCACAAAGTAGTTCGGTTTCATATCTAGCGGGGTTGGGCTGTTAGATTTTGTAATTGCCTCATTACATTTATGCAAATTTATACTTGTAAACATCCGATAGCGGGCATGCAAGAGGAAAACAATTTAGAAGTTTAGGTTTAGGTTTAGGTTTAGAGGTTTTACACCTTTTGTTTTTCTAGGTTCTATTGTGTTGACTTCTTTGTTTTTCGTCACCGGTGAGTTTACATGGTTCATACAAAATTCGGGGGAAAAAATCAAGGACTTTTTAAGGAGTAAAACAATTTTTTCAAGGACTTTTTTCCCTGTAATTTGACATAGAATTGCATGAACTAAAAACCTTTCAAATTCGTAGGTAGAGGGGAGATTTCTTATTGCAATACCTTCCCCCAGGAAGGCACGATTACTAGGGTACTTCAAATAACGGAAAATTAACCATTCCGGGAACATTGAAAACATAAGAAAACATACTTTCATGACCACCAAGAAAATTTGTGTACTGCTGTGCTTTCAATCTTACCTTTGCGCAAAACACTTTGTTTAACAAAGGTTATTTTTATTCAAGGAGCTTTCAAAAATATTCAAGGACTTTTCAAGGATAGTCCACAATTTTTCAATTTACAAAGACTATTCATTCAAGGACATGATGCTTTTTCAGGGAATTTTCAAGGCCTGTGCGAACCATGGTTTAAGACAAGTCGAAGGCAGCGTCAATGAGATGGGTAATAAGGGTGCTTGATGACATAATGTCGCAGCACATTAAAACCTATAATCAAAATTAAACTTGCAATAAGTAAACCTTAAGAACATAAATGCAAGAGTTTCTAACCTCTCTTTCTTTTCCGTCTCAAAATGGCGCTTAGTTTATAATAAAAAGACGATTGTCGAAACTCGCCATTACAGAACCGATTCTTTGATCTTTGATACCAACGATTTAAAAACAACCCATAAATGAAAAATGTATTTTTTCCTCGCCAAGGTCTCTCACAGTGACCACCCTTTCACTAAGAAGCGAGAAAGGAAAATCTGGTATGGGAATGTCTTATCTTTAAACTACTAGGAAAGGATAAGAAATCAAAGATCGGAACGCAAACAAAATTCATTTCAAGGTTAAAAATAAATGGCAATTTTGACTTCGGAGACTCCTTAACGAAAAAAATCAACCATTAGATTGTACTCTACACACAATCCTTGAAATCTTTCACTTTATCCCTATACAACTTGCTCAATTCAGCCCTAAAGAACCCGTTTGTTTTTATCCTGTAGATAAATATTAGGAAGCAAAAATTTCGGCCCCGTCTGCACGAGTCCAGATATTTTTGAAACAGCTTTATTTAATATAAGAATCGGCATTCCGCCTACACGAAACTAGTGAATCTGCTCAAGAAAACTCCATTTTTTAAAGTGATTAGACGAATATTTTCGAATTCAATAGCCCACGTTCGATATCGAGGCTTTACGGACAAAAATGCAATTTTTTTACAACTCCATTGTCTCGCAATTCCCAGAGGACACTTGGGCACAAAGAAAACCAGACCAAATCTAGAAAAAATGACCATGAAACCTCGGAGTCATTTCGATATTTCGAGAATTTCGATATTATTTATTTATTCACAAGCCCTAGGATTTCACGGTAATGAAAGTTTCCGGTACCGTGTTGTTACCGTGGTCTTAAAATAACGGAAACAAAAAGTAGTTTCCCACTGACATTTTCACTCTTAGGGATACATTTATTTTTTGTCACTAGTGGGGCATTTCTTTAGTGACGACTCATATATGAAAATAAAATGTTTACCATCTATCAGTTCCATCTTGAATCATTCCCAAAAAGCATTATACATGGTTTATGGTTTCCAACGCGAAGAAAAAAAAAATATATGACTGAAAATTTAAAACATTCAGGGGATGGGTTCCCACGAATTTTCACGCAACCAAAAAATTGTTACCGATGGTTTCTCATGATCTCTGGGCACGGAACCGAAAAAATGTTTTCCATGGGAATTGAAATCCTAGGGCTTCAATATATCGAACGTGGGCTATTAAATACGCTGTTTCAGCCTACCCGGGCATTAAATATTTTTGGTAGCTCACTGTCCCGTCGAGTAACAATGGGTTTGGGTAATTAAGGTTCTTCCCTCGAACTGTTATCGAAACGGAACTAGAACAGAAATTATTATCAAATTGAGAGTAAAAAGCACATATATCACACCTGCTAAGTCCACAACCAAGTAGATGTCACCTCAATACGCAGAATTACATCTCAAATTACCTTGGATTGACGTCATCAGCAAATATCACCAGGTGATTTTCCCGAGCTTTATATTTGACGAAGTGAAAGGACTCCTGAATATCGCTTACAATAATACGCGTCCCCATGGTGTTAAGCCCCATAACAAAGTTTGGCAGTTTCTACGAAGCAACACACAAATTAATCACGTCTTGTCTTACTATGATTAATACCAAATAGCCTTAATACCAACACAGTAACACCATCCACAGTCTTGGATTAGTACAGAAAAAAACTACAGAGTTACTATGGCGGTTGCCATTTGTTTCACTATTATCTCTGGTCATGGTAGTTTGCAACATGTAACAAACATAGCAGTGTTTACAGGATCCGGAACTAAGGCTGGGTTCACACTTGGTGCCTAAGTACGGTGCCGCCAGCCGGGAGTATTTATGGCAATGTGAACACTCCCTTTGCCAGTACTCGCAAGCAAGGGTAGTACAAGGTGGGGACCATGAAGACACTGAAGCAGGTTCTGGGTCTCCGTGTGAACGCGTTTTCCTTTAGTTTTAGCTGCAGTCTATTGCTTCCAATGTAATAACCCCTGCCACGCGCATGTTTCAAATGGAGGCTAACGGCGCGAAATAGAGCTTATCTTACCTTATTCTCGCATTTACGAAGAAGTTTCTTTTTCCCAAGATCATAAATTCTCAACAGGCGTCCAACACCAGCTAAAAGGCGACCCTACAACAAAAAATATCTGCTTTAAACATTTCTCGCTGGACGAATCGCAACCTACTTTCCCCCTATAGGGCCGTTAATTGCAGCATAGCGACAAGGCGCTCCGTCACAAAGGTTACGTTAAGCCCGAATAGAGTCAACGCAAGTGGAACCTAAAGTCGAAAAGAAATTTTAAGGAACGGTACGTCAGAAAAAAATAGTGAATTATTTGTCCACCTGGAAAGGCGCTAGAGCTCCAGGAATATCATCCACTTCGGTCTGAAAAATAAAATAAGCAGAAATCGTCAAGAGTTTACAAGTAAAATCACTCTGTCCATCACAAAACTATTTTCCATAACTCGACAAAAAAGTCTAATTATGCCTCATGTTCAGTTCACCATAACCCGCCTGACACTCCCTTCTACTGAGATTTTGGCAAATCTTTGAGACAAAGCATTTACTAGCCTGAGAAAACAGCCGAAATTTCCCAACGCGACCACTGGTTTCGCCGCAAAATGACGTCTAACAAAGGAGTGAAGCAAATTTTCAGCCAATCAGAAGCACTACCCAGATCTCGTTAGTGACGCTTCATTAGTATGGAATCATTATTTCTGCGCTCGTTTCTCAAACGTAATTTCGCGGGAAACCAGTGGAAATCACAGCTGTTTCCTTAAGTTAAGCATATACATATTGAGCAAAGGATTTTACCTTGTGGACAAATTCTAGTTTGTATCCCCCATCAATGAGTTCAGCAATCTTGTAAGCGTGAATGAAACCTCCTGCGCATGACCGCGGGTTAAGAGTCAGGTCCTTTGCGGTACCAACTAGCGCATAAGTCTCATCAGGACGACACGTAAAATTACACACGCACACACTGAAATATAATATTACATAAAGTGAGTTGCAACCATCTGCAAGAGGCATGTAGCTGGCATGAGTAACAAGGCTTGCTTGCCTGTTTTCTGCGACAATATGAGCTGCATTTAATGGTTACGATTATCAGTCATCGTCACGCAAAAGCACTTCATAATGATCCAAAACAACCTTTTTTATCAATATTACACAAAATGAGTGGACTACCGAACCAGTAAACCTCACAAAAGTAAATTCTTTTTAGACATTCAGAAAAGAAGAAATCTAACTTAGCAAGTGTCTCATTTATACCACGTTTCTTTCGTCTTTCTGGCACATACTAAATGTATCGACTTGAACATGTCTAACACCTATAACGACTCAGTGTACTGCACTCATCACTGAAGAGTACAGAGCAGGTAGTACACAACACAAACCTGAAGGCAGAGTAATACAGTGTGAAGATGAAACAAACCTGACAGCAGATTCATTTTGTTCCAGACGAACCTCATCGACTGTTTCACCCTGTAAAGAAAATTGAGATTCCTGAGCTTCAGAGGGGAGAGGGGAGGGGAGGGATGGACGGACGGAAGAAAGAAATGATAGATGGATGGATAAAAAATAAATAAATAACAATTTGGAGGCAGCACATCCAGATTAGCGGTTCTTCGTCTATCATTCCCGATCGAATTGGCCTTTGAAACTATTGGTTCTTGAGGAGAAGAAAAAACCGAAATACCCAAAGAAAAACCTCTTAAGGGCGAGAACCAACAATAAACTCACACCATATATGGTGTTACCTGCGGGATTCGAGCCCAGGCCACACTGGCGAAAGGCCGGCGCTCGTATAACTGCACAACCCTTGCCCCCGCCCCCACCTTTTCAATACCAAAAAGATTTGAGCAAAGGTAAAATTTGTCTTGCACAGAATGACCACCTGAAAAAAGGCTCCTTCAAGAAACGTTTCCTTCACTAAGCTCTTCAAGTCAAAATAATAGTTTTCATTGCCAAGAATTCAAGAACAAGTAAATTAACTGAGAGAGCTGCCATGATCGTAATAAACCTGTTTTGTGGTAAGCGCTTAACTATATGCAAGCTCTTCTCTCGGCAACAGGTGCCATCTTAGGGTACCTTTATTGGGTCCAGCATGCGCAAAATAGAGGCCCACATGCCAGGCCCTGCCTTGGGGGCTCCAAACTGTTGTTCAGAGAGATCCTCGTTAAGAAATTCGGCTGCCATTTGAGCCGCTAGCTCCTTCTCGTCGTCACCGGCTGCTTCGACCATTTCCTGGCAGAAATGAACATAAAAATGTCAATAAATACTTTAGAAGGGAGAAAAAGAAACTGACATACGCAGATTGAACATCTTTTGTTGGTGTGGCGTGCTGTGGATTCAAATTGACGATGGCTTTGTTTCAAACTCATTTTCATACATACACAGAAACAAAGGAAAAATTAGACCAGGCATAAAATTGAACTACAAAACCTCCAATCATGAGACGAACCTCTCGTGCTAAAACACATTGAAGTCTCAAAAGAAGCGAACATTCAAGATTTTAGGGCTTTTAAACTGTTAAATAGCAACTACAAATAGCACTACAAATAAGCCACTACAAATAGCATCTTTAATTCTTCAATCTTGTAATACAATATAAATGGCTTGTAAAATAAATAAATGGAGGAAAAAATAAACAAAATAAACAAATAAACTGTTAACCCATCTAGCTTACGTGACATTCGTCGCAAGAAATGGGGTGGAAGGAAAAATGGGAGAGGGATTGGGAAAAGGAGGAAAGACGTCTTCCTCTCCAACCAAGCCACATATCATCATGGGTCAATGAATTTATGTTTGCGAACACACTTGCTAGTGGCACTTTTATTCTGAAATTGATACGTTCACGAGCCTTGCATTGCCAAAATAAACAAAGGAAAGCAAGTTCAAACAACATAACAGTAAGTCGTAAGAGTTTCACTGTCCCACTGTCAGCAGTCAGTTTTAATGGTCGTAACTTCCGCTATTTACAAACAGGGGATTGCAAACCCATGGGTACAAACCTCAGCAATTTGTTGTTTTTTCTCCTCTTTGACCTTGTCGGTGAACGTGTTGTGGTCACTTTCTATGATGATCAAATTGTTACTCTGATGGTGGAAAGCAAATTTCCGAGGCGTGTAGCGAAGAGGTGTGGCTACCTGGTTAAACACAGCACCTAACTTTTCCAGAGCCAAAATCCTTAAAAAAATTTCAAAAGGAAACGATATATAACTCGTTACCATCAACAACTACTTAAACTAAGCTATAGCTTACGAGGCCTTGTCAGCTACTTATGCTAACTCCCTAGGGGCAGGCATGACCTACAAGCTCTCTTGGAAACTCCACGGAGCGGGGGTGGTGGTGGGGGGGTGTTTCCCCGTCCCCTACCCCCAGAGAGCTTGCTCATAGGCTAGACATTACCATCTACACTGTATATGTATACATAAACAAATACGTTTTATTGAGTCTTCCTTTACAGGGCTTTTCAGACACAATTAACTATACTGTAGAGAAGGCACAAGCGAGTGTAAACTGCGATATGGCGTTCTTATCGCAGGTTTAAGAGAGTGCTTCAAAAGAGTGCTAAAACAACTACTGGCATATTGGTTCGTGAAATCCCCGACTCAGTTTAATATTTCAGCTCAGCGTATAGTGACGACAAATTAATCAAGTCACACGTATTAAAAAAGAACAAAGCAAAGTCACCTGCAAAATTAAGGGTGCAGTTGGCGTGCAAATGAATTACCATAACCTCAGTTTTCCTAGTTTTTAGTAATGATTTAGGACCCACCTCAGAGTGTTTGCAGATATAGCAACAATTCCCTCAGGACACTGCTCAGAAGAGAAACTAGAGGCGTACTCGAGTGTCTCATATGACAACGGAGTAAGATGGAAACGGGACTGGTACGAGTAACTTAGCCACGAGCGACTTGACATGGCAAGAACCTGGAAATATAAAAAAAAGGATTAAACTTCTATAATTTCTAACATCGCGTTATGGTCCTTCTTGTCCATAAAGTAATAATAATAATAATAATAATAATAATAACAATAATAATAACAATAATAATAATAATAATAATAACAATAAGAAGAAGAAGAAGAAGAAGAAGAAGAAGAAGAAGAAGGAGGAGGAGAAGAAGAAGAAGAAGAAGAAGAAGAAGAAGAAGAAGAAGAAGAAGAAGGAGGAGGAGGAGGAGGAGGAGGAGGAGGAGAAGAAGAAGAAGAAGAAGAAGAAGAAGAAGAAGAAGANACGGAGTAAGATGGAAACGGGACTGGTACGAGTAACTTAGCCACGAGCGACTTGACATGGCAAGAACCTGGAAATATAAAAAAAAGGATTAAACTTCTATAATTTCTAACATCGCGTTATGGTCCTTCTTGTCCATAAAGTAATAATAATAATAATAATAATAATAATAATAATAATAATAACAATAATAATAATAATAATAATAACAATAAGAAAAAGAAGAAGAAGAAGAAGAAGAAGAAGAAGAAGGAGGAGGAGAAGAAGAAGAAGAAGAAGAAGAAGAAGAAGAAGAAGAAGAAGAAGAAGGAGGAGGAGGAGGAGGAGGAGGAGGAGGAGAAGAAGAAGAAGAAGAAGAAGAAGAAGAAGAAGAAGAAGAGCAATACAGAGGGTAGAACAGCAAACATTTCTTTTGTTTCCCATAGTTTGTTTACGTTTGCCATAAATCGCACTTGTTACGTGTACCTCGCAAAACTTTGCACAATATTTTAGCGCGCTCCACATTAAGCACGTTTCCCTGTGCTTACCATAGGTCGTATGCTTTCCCTCGCTTTTCATGGGTAGCTCGCTTTTTTTCGCCCTGGGTGCCAGTTACCTGGGTCGGGTTACAAAAACACATCTTAAGATTAAGGGAACTTGTAACTGTTATTTCAAAACAATAGGTTATTGTTCCAGAACAAAAGTTAAGAGCCCTCGTATCTTTAGTAGGTTTTATGCAACCTGGCCCTGGGCTATTATGTCATTAAGGGGTACTGCTTTCTTATAAATGAACGTCGACAACTCTAGAAACAAGGACAGAGCTAGTACTTACCGCATCAGATCCGTGCATTCTAACTTTAAACAACTTAACAGCCTTTGACCCAAGATACCTGAAAAACAACGAGACGAATTCAGCATTTCACCAGCAAGAATCAACAAAATGTATTTACACTGCAGACCTGCAGATTACTTCACACGAATTTCGTTTTACAAGGAGTGGGGTACCCCGTTGACGCTGAAAGCATTCAACCAGACTTGTTTCGAATTAGATCACTTCAGTCGGTGGCTAGGCCGTGCCTTGCCTAAATATCAACATGTGATCAAACCAGAACATCCCTGTAAGTTAAGGTGGGCCGCGTATATCCTTACCTCGTTCGAGTATCGGACAAATCTCCAGTCACAAGATCCAGCACTGTTCTAAGCAGAACACCATTCTGTAAGGTACCAAAAAACAGTCAGGTTGTTAATAGTAGAGGCGCACTGTTCGTATAGACAGCTTAAGAAATTCATAAAAGTTTAAAAACAATTGCTTTCACAAGAACTTTCAAGCAATGTTAGTTAATACGATCTAAATGTGAGGTCTTAGACAAAAGTTTCTGAGATAAAAGAGTCAAAACCACAAACATACAGATAATCCGATATTGAGAAAGAGTCCTCCAAGCCTTCCAGACTCGCTCTCTAATCCTCCCATTGCCATCTCCACAATGCAAAGTGACTCAGGTGTGGCGGGAAGGGCCTGCATACTAAGAGGCTGAAGGCAATCCTGCGGGTCAAGGGATATTACCCGCACGGTGTTGTCACTTAGACCAATGGCCAGAAACCTTGAGCGCTGCTCTCCTGCGGGTACTGTCCCGAGGGCCATACACTGTACATCCGAAGACATTTCTTTTCGTTCTGTATACTCATTCAGTTGACCGGACTGCAAATAAAATGAAGCCAAATATTGAAACAAATTGCGACACGCGTTAACTGGGAGTTATATCCAACATTTTGAATATGTCACAATATTTCGGGTCTACCAGATTCTAAAAACATACACAATTTTAGGGCTTTAAAATTCACGCTTTCGTTACGTTACAATGAGCTAGCCTAAAAACTGTAAAATGCTGGATCAAGTCATGTTTACAGTTTGTCTGACGGAAGATAGGAACAACAATTTCACTTGCTTACCGGATCCATTTCAAAGTAAACAATTTCCCCTCCAGTTAAAGCGATGACAACCTGAAAAAGTTAAATTTCATAAAAATCGTTTCATGTAATTCCAATTTAAATCCTTTATCCTCTCCCCTTAGGGGGCTTTTCACGGATAATGAAACAAATAACTATTTCAATAGAACATAACATGGGGAACCCCGACTGTTCGGGGGCGACCAAGTCAGCTATTTCACAAGCGTGGTCCAGGATTAGAACACGGGGCTACCGACAGCAAATCCAGCTAGCGATCAAGGCGGGATTTGAACTCGGGGTCTCACGATTATATGTCCAACGCTCTAACCACTCGGCCACCCTGCCTCCTTTTTTAAATGGAACTCAAAACCCAGCTAATGAAATTTAACGCTTTCTTTTTAATATGCACTACACTCGAACTAAGCAACTAACTTGTCTTTCATTCACAGCACATTTTACAATGGTTTTCTTTCCAGGAGTTTTCCATTCGTTTACACGCTTGTCAGATCGGATGTGGCGGATACCATCAGTGTAAACCTGTCGAACACAAAACAGTAAAAACTGACTTCATACACGTACATGTTTGTAAATGAATATAGAGCCTGTGAGCAAGTTCTCGCGAGAGCAGCACGCTTCGTGACTCGCTCGCGCGATCCCTCGCGGCTTGCTTGGAGAACTTGCTCGCAGGCTAAAGAATGTACAGATCTTTACCCACTTTAACTGCAAAGCAGCGTACTGTCAGGTGTACATGCAGGCTAAAACAAACGACTCTGAAGCAGAGGAGGATGGTTGAAAAAAAAGTGATTTCTGTCCCTTTCGCAGCTTTTTTCTGTCACAAAGAAACGCTCCTGAGAAAGATGCACGGAAAACATCTTTCTCGATTGATTGGTTCCGTATTTTGTTAAGTTGAAGATACTAGTCAAAGAAGTCAAAAATTAGTCGAAAATGAGTTTGGTGAGCCGGGGAAGCGTCAAGAAAAATTCGCACGGATCAATAACCAGTCATCGTTCGCTTTTCTGCGGATTGGTTCTCGTGGCCGAGGTTAGCAGGCTAACGCGTTCCTGCCTTCTAGTTTTCCCTTCAATAATAATTACTCTTAATGTGTTTTCAGATTAAAACCAATGCTGTGCGTGACTAGAGAGACATACATTTCTCCGTTTCCAATGATTAATCTTTCGTAGAAAGTGTTAACCAAGAAGAGCCAGACTTTCACAGGACGTTCTACGTTGTGTTACCTGTAACAAGGCGTCCTCGCCCAGCTGTGAACAGGACAGAGTGGGAGTGGTACCTAGAAAACCGCTGTCAGTCACTTCTTCAACTGTTTCTCCAATAGACAACACCAAAGTAGCGTTAATGAAGGACACCACAATATACGAGTCAAACTCATCTACGGAATGAAGCAGCAAAATAATTACCTCATTGGTCTACAATCATGAACAAACGTCTTGAGACAAATTATTTACATTTGTGCGGCTTTGTTTTTTCAATTCACATATACCCAACCCCTCTCCCGCCCCACAGACAACGCTGGACGCGAATATCCAGAATTTGTTCCGAGTTTCAACAATGCAGAGGGTGGAGACAGAGAGAACTGCGAGCTATTGTCAAAAAGGATACGCTGTTTTATGAGGGTACCGAGATATTACAGAAAATTGTGAATACTGCATTGATGTCCAGGACTGTACAATGAAGGTGCATAATCCTCAAACCAGATCAAACGGCGCAGAGAGACAAGTTTCAGATATAAAAATTTTCAAGATCACTAAACAATAATGCTTGATTTCAAATGATTGAATCTTGGAGTTTCATCCCGAAATTGAAACGTTTGAGAAAACTGAGAAGTGTTACAAACGAAACAGCATTTGCCTTTCACTTGAATAACCACACAAAAGGAATTGGCTGAATTAAAAAATTACAACCATTGTACATCACAGTAAACAGAACGCAAACAAAAGCTTCAGACAAGAACCCACACTTGCTTGTTACACTTTGGGAATACATTTAATTCCACAAAGTCAAAAGTTACATGTAGAACCACTCTTTGCAGTGTCAGAGTTGATAATAAACAGCACCACAGGTTAATAAGGCTCACTTAAATGATTTAAATACAGCACCACAAAAATAGATCTCAAAGTATAGTTACACTGTAAATGTAATTATCAAACCTTGTTTGTGTGTTTTTACTGTCCAAACTGCATTAGGATTACCAGGCAGCTCAGACACAGCCATTTCAGATACCTGAAGGATGAAATTACTTTAGTTGCATGCTAATGAGCATTATTGTGCTTAGCAAACATGTCTCTAGTGGACGACATAAAAAGAAGCAACTCTTGTTCACAAATCTTAATTTATTTATGAATAACAAACCTTTTGAAAATATACCTTACAAGCATTCAAGTTTGAGTGGAAATTGAACTATGACCTTAGTCAATCTAAAGAAATTCTCTTAACCCTTTGAGTCCCAATAGTGATCAACATCAATTTTCTCCTAACAATATCCATACAATGTCAAGAGAAATGGTCATGAGAGTTAATAAAATGGTCACTAAAGAGAAAATGCTTTGATCTGTTATGGAATTCTCTCAACTAATTCTTTAAGGAAATATATGGAGATCAGTTTGGAGAATTTGTAAGTGGATATTGGGGCTTAAAGGGTTAACAACAAGTGAACAACACGTACCTCAAGTCCATGCCTCAAAACCCGCAGGGAGGACCGAGGACCTCTTCCACAAGCAGCATACAACTGGGGTGTGTCTTCATTAGCTAAGTCAGCAATCTACAAAGTGGCAAAAGTTCTTTGTAGTTACAACAGTTGCACTCAAAAATAATTGAGGTGACCTTTTGATTGGTTTTGATCTTGGGAGTAAAATTAGAAGAGGAGATCACAATCAAGTTCTGGCACTTTTTTAGCCTTGTTTTATTTCAGTACTTCGGGAGCAGGTTATGTGCTGACGTAGAAAATATGCTTCATTCTACTTTATTTTATGAATACCGGTACTTGCATTTCATGATTGTAAAATACACTGCAGCAGTTGCTGACAAAAAAAATACAAGTATGTGGGATTGAATCTGGCATTCCTACATGTAGCAGTTACTGCTATGTTAAATGGCTTACCACACAACCAAATTTAATAGGCTGCCTTAATGCTTTTACATGTAGCCAGTTTACGAAAATGGTGAAGAGAGTGAGATAAAAGCTCATACCTGACATGACATCACAGGAGCCAAACTTTCCAGTTCATCTACAAGCACCAAATTCTTGAGGCCTCTGGGAGTAAAGAAGAAAGTTGTCCCCTCTTCCAGCTCCATTGCACTGGAAAACTCAGGCTCATCATCATCATCACCAAGATGTGCAATCTGATACAAGTAGCTAAAACATTGGTTGCAAGATAAGCATAAGAATTTTTAGGGCAGTTGTCATTAGACTGAAAAGAGACTATTACAGCCGACAACCACAGTAAAGTCTGGCAAATACAACCATCAGTTTACTGTTAAAATTAAAAGTAATTGCAAAATCTGAGAAAACTAGATGTACAAAAGGTAACATATAAACAGTAAAAGATGCATATCCAGGTGAAGGATGGTGGCTGTAATTTAGACAAAATGGAATAATTATTAATTTGTTGATCAAAAGTACATACTGATTTCCAAATTCTGAGGCAGTAAAAAGAAAGCCAGTCTTGAGGACACACATGGCTGCCGCAACAGGAACAGTGTCAAAATACTTCATGCGGATTTCAGTAACCTGTGCGAGAAAAAGTAAAAAATATCTGTGTTGCAAGTATTCTTTTGTAAAATCTGTAAACATTAAAAAATAATATTGCACTAACCATGTCCTCATCAACTTCCATCGTGATTTTAAATACGTCACCTTGTTCTGTTTGCACCAGAAAGAAAAACATAGACTAGAAAAAAAGAAGACAACAGAAGCAATCTTTGTTATCAATGGATATCATACTCATTACATTTCACATTATTTGTGCCCGTAACATTTTAGAAGCCCCAAACTCCTTACACTATCTTTACGCAATCAAATAAGAAAGTAACAAGAAATGTATGAGAATAGTACAGTCCACATAGTCATGCATAAAGTATCCCGAGCTGCTCAGACAACTAAGTATAAATGCAACCTGAGGGAATTTCACAAATGAGGTTAGAAGTGCAAGGCCTGATGGATATCCAAAACTCATACAAGATAAAGCAAATTGTTACCATGATTTTAATGAGCTTTGCCCATCATAGCACTGTAAAGAGTGTCCATCATGGCAACCTATACTGACATTTACTCCTTAACCCCTCATATCAAAAGATAAATTCTCATTTGGTGCCCTTGCACATTTTCTACTGATGTAGTGGGGACAATTTGTTGAAGTACCAACTTGTTTTGTGATCATGTCCTTAATTCTTGTCCTCAATCTGCTTTAAATAGCATTGATATTGCAAGAATAAATTTGAGGCTCATCAGTTACCTTTGTTTTGTGAGTAGCACCACACACAAAAATCATTCCACGTTCTGGGTCATCAAGATCATACTAAAATTGAGTTTAAAGCAATACAATAATATAATTATTATTATTATCGTCAAGTACACACAGATAATGATATAAATTCAAAGTGTATTCTTCAAATAAATAAAAATAAAATAATAATTATTTTATTTACCAGGTAAGTGAAGCTCAGGTACCACTTTTTGTTTTCCACATTCATAAACTCATAGATTATTACAACTGACTACACATTTCACTGGCTTCTACAGTTAAAATAATTCTTCAGTGCTAGAAACAGAACATTACAAAATATGATTTGACAGATGCAAATTTAACAATACTAATTTTACGAACCTTTCGACGTGGGATGGGCATGCGGATATCAGGCTGATCTCCAAAATTCTTATAAGTGATGTAGTTTTCTGAACAGACTAACACTCCACTGGGGCCATCATTTCCACCAGGGACGGAAATCAGTAAGTTTCCATGTTCCTCAAGAGGTTCACTGTACTTGCGCACCACATGGTTCAATCCCAGGTCCAGTTCATAAAATGTCAGTGTTTGTTGAGTTGTATGGACAGCTTCTCCAGTTGGATCTGAATCAGCATCCTAAACAGAGACGTGATAACATATAAGATGATAGACAATGTTCAGAGTATTATTAAACTGGTAATTACATGGTTCAAGGAAAAACACAATAATTATCAGTGGTTTCCGCACAAAATGACACCTGAGAGACTACTGCAGAAATTCCATACCGATGATGTAACACTACCCAGATCTGAGAAGTGCATCTCATCAGTCATGCCAAAAAGGAAATTTTCTTCAGTCAATCGAAAGCACTATCTAGATCTAGGTAGTGACACATCATCAGTATTTCTACAGTCATTCCTCCAACTTAATTTAGCGGGGAAATCAGTAGTGGTTTCATGAAAAGGAGGCTGTTTTCTCAGGCTATGCTTTTTGCTTTAAAAGGGGTAGATGGAGGAAAAGAAAAAGGAGACATGCTACGAAATTTTGCTGCAGCAACACAATAATACACAATATTGTGCAGATGTACAGTTTATGCTTTACACTTCAGGCTCAAGACTCAAATTTCTATTAACTCATGAACTATTATTTTGTAATAAAATAAAAACTAACAAAGGAGCAAGTAACATCACAAAAGTATGGCTGAGAAGTTCCATTTGAATGATCACACCAAAGGATTTTGCTTGAAGACTCAAAAACAACATACAGTGGACTCCCGATAATTTGAACCTTCAAAGGAAATCGAAAAAAGGTTCGACTTATCGGGAGGCGACTGTAAGTTATCTCATTATCATTGATATAGCTCATCATTTACCTCATAATCCATTTCCAAGCAGGCAAACATTGGATTTTCAAAGCCAACATCAACTCCTACAGTATGATAGACTAAAGTATGTGACTTGTGTGCTTCAAGAGGAGATGATATGGTAAGTCGAGCAGCAGCGTCTCGATTCAAGATGTAAACCAACTTCTGTTTCTCCACAGCACCTGAAAATTTCAATTTACCATATTGCATGTTTAGTAATATTGCATGTTTAGTAAAAAACAATTGCTGGCAGAATGTTACATAATTCACCACTGGAAGTGACAGAAACTTTTACAACAAGTTCTTATTATTTCAACTGTCTTGTTCTGCTGTTGACAACTTTAGTGTTCATGACTCATTACTGTGCCAAATATTGAAAAACTAAAGCCTAAAACACAATATTGATACATGCATTGGAATAAATCATAGTTTGAAAGTGTGCATTAAGATATGAGATTTGAGAATTGAGATTCCTGAAGTGTGGATGTCCATGATCAGCAGACTGCTGAGCGAACATTTCCCTCCTCTGATAATGCGAGTAATGCTTTGGATTGAAAATTGCTAACCATGAGTGAGGTTCATGATCCACCAAACACTAACAACCACGGTGGTACTAATAGTCCTACTCAGTAAATCAACACTATGAAGACCTGCAGTATGCAGCCAAAATAATGTGATCAATATGTAAGTGACAATCATGAGACAAATGATAAATGAAACCCTTCATACAAAAAAGGTTAATAAGTATACCAATCATGATAGCACGTCCTTTGGGATCAACAGCTAAATACTGGCCAGGGACAATGCGTCGACATCCACTTTTCCCAAATGTCTCTTGATGAACCTGAAGATTAAGATGATAAAATTCAGCAAACCCAAAGGAGTTTTAATGTACATGTACTACTGTGCAGGACACTAGCACAGAAATTTTCAGAAGAAAGTGTGCAGGTCATTAAAGCATTTAATGTTTTCTTAAATCCAACCCTGGCTATTCTCCAAACACAATATTTGGTACAGGTAAATGTGTTTCCTTTACTGAAGAAATGTTTTGACATTTAAATTTAACATTGTGGAAATTTTATTATTTGACTGTCTCTCACAATACATAAAATATAATTATGTACTTCATTTACTACATCTTTTATGCTACCTTTTCAAAAGTGTTTTTTGATGGAATGTACTCTAAGATAACGATACGTCCAGAATCACTTCCAACCACCACATAATCTGAAAAACAATTGCAAACATTAGTCAAAATTTACAAGCACATTGTAAAGTGTAACTTCCTATGAGTATAGCTAATAAGAGGAAATTTTATTATATAAAAACCACCCTTCCCTAGGCACACCAGTTACTACAAGTTGACTTTTACACCAGTACAAAGATATAACTTATTTCACTGACATTCAAGCTATAATGTGTGAAGGGTGTTGAAAGACAAGAGATGCTATTTTGCTGCTGTCTTTCCTTATGTCTCATCATGAGTTCTTCACTATAGCTTACCCTTTGAACCACCAGTTAGCCTGAACGCAATCAGATCTCGGATCACACCAAACATTTCCATGGCCAACAAAGGAAATACTTTGCCAGTGTTGGGATCAGGACGCAAGAGTTCTATGATTTTTCCCCTTGAGATGACAATTTCCTGTTGCTTGGAGCCAGAGAAATTTCCATGAATGGCATGGTTGATGGCAGATGCTTTCTGTAGAGTTAGTGCGTATAGGTGCATGATGTCCTGTAGAAGACAAAACAGTATATTTCCAGTTAAACCCTTACATCAGTATACATACTGAAATCTGTTCTCTCCACAACAGTAAGCTTGGATGCCAGCATACAGGGTGCAACTGGCAGCTGTTATCAGTTGAGTCCATTTTATGAGCTTACCGTAACCCACCTATAGCCCAAGATATGTGAAGAGGTTAAAGTATTGAAGTTAATTTTTTATCTCAGGTAATTTTTTGTGTTTGTCTTGTTTTGAGGTATGGTACTGTATGCTAATGAAGTTGAAACAAAGGAAAAATTAAAATTACCTGAGATAAAAACTAACTACAACAAAAGTACAGGTTATTTGTGGAAGTCTACACAAGTTTCACTACTCATCAAATCTGCTACATTAGAGTTTGTACATGCTAGATTTACTTGATAAATACATGAACCTTCAGCTGGACATAATTTGAAAATGAGGAACTTACAAAAAGATTTCTTTTCAGGAGGGACACAGACCTATTTTCAACATGTAACCCAACATAAGAGCCTAAGAGCACTGGTTACACTGGTTACTTGGAAATAACCAAAACAACAAGTACAGTAAGAACAGCAGTTATTGCCTTAGTGGCAGATTTCCATAAATTGTGAGATAACTGACATCTTGCATGCCCACTACTGCCTTTATGTTTCAGTTAATTCCAAGAACACTATTCCCTATCTTCCCAATCTCCAGTTATACTCCAGGCACTCAATGCAAGATTATATCTGTATAGGTAGAAATTTGAAGCAAAACAAAGCCTGCCAGGTTGACATTTGACTATAGGGAAAATGGAGTGCATATTTTTGATTTGACATTTTGTCCAAATAAAAGAATGGTGGCATTCTCCAACACAGGAGTTTGACTAAATCAAAACATCAAATGTTTGGTTTGAGGCAGGGAGGGGGGTGGGGGAGCGGAGTTGGTTGTTCTTGTAACTGACTGACAGATTAAATGAAAGATAGTATTGCCTTGAAGAAAGAACAACAATATCTTAAGTTCTGATTAGTTCTACAAGGTATAATATTTACTATGATACCCAGCCCACTAAATATCCAACTTAAAAAAACTGCTCCCACAGTCCCAAATTTCATCCAATTTGTATAATTAATTCTAACATCGCCTGCAGGAGCACTAGTATACCTCGTTCTATATGTAAGCACACTAGTTACTTGACATCGACTGCAGGAATGCGGGACTGCAGAAGCATTAGTATAACTCGTTCTATACGCACACTAGTTACTTGACATCGACTGCAGGAATGCGGGACTGCAGAAGCATTAGTATAACTCGTTCTATACGCACACTAGTCACTTGACATCGACTGCGGGGGCACTTGTTTCACTCACTTAGATTTCATATGAATGGAAAACAACTGTGGGAGCAGTTTTATTCCGGGTAAGATATTTACTGGGCCGGGCATGCGCATTCTGCAATCGCTTCTTTACTATACATGTATTTGCACGTATTCAATGTGTACCACTGCAGTTTACAACATATGAGCGAAAGTTATCAAATCAGACAATTAACAACATTGCACTGATGGCAGATGCCTGTAGCAGAAGGAGAATTATCAAGAACGCATACATATTCTGTTAAACATTTACCTCTAGGCCCCCAGATCTTTTTATATCAATACACCAGCAGCTTGTTAAGGTACTCCTTAACGACGTTAATTCAATAGATCCAGTTAAACGTCCTCAGTTTCTGTAAAGTCTAGCAAACAATCGATAGTCGCAAGTTTCAGAAGAAAGCCGCCATTACGTTTAACGCACGTGCAGTCATGCGCACTAGCACTACGCATCCGTCCTCAGAGTCTTGCACATGTCCAGCGGGAACAGCATTCCGCTGGACAAGGATAACGTAGTAACGTAGTTGAGCCGTGTAGCTCTGGGGACGAGAATGATAATTAGTGGAACCCAGTACTGTTCGACAGCACAAGATTATTCAGCATGGCGGCCGTACTTGCGGGAAGATTCTGCAGGGTTTTACCTCAGGCACTGAGCTGGTATTCTCGAAGAACAGTGTTATGCAACTCCAGTTTTGAAAGTAAACGTTTTATTCATATGGCAAGGCAACTTCTGGCAGGTAACGTCGTTTAGGATTCTTCTATTTTGACTTTGGATTTTCGTTTCATTCGATTCCACGTTGCGTAAAATTACTCAATTGAGTTTACACTCCATTGGTTTCATAGAAACCATTGTTTTAACATATTATGCTCCAAACCTCTTTTTACCTCTTCTTTATTTAGCTATTGTCTGAGGTTAACGCTTACTTCCATGATCTAGCAAGTCTGTGCGCTTTACTGAATTGAATTCGAATTGAATAACCTTTTCGCCTGGCCCAGTTTAAAACATGTTCTGATATAAATCGACGTCAAAAATATATTTAATATGGCTTACACCATATTAAGGCACACACGCCAGGAAATGATGCAGACGATTAATGGAAGAGTTGTTGTACTTGATTATTATATTCCGTTGGTACACTTAAAAAAAACCGCAGAAATTATGTCGCATATCCTAGCTTGTTGTGCAATATTCAGTCCACAACCTGCACCCCCCTTGGCGCGTTTTTAATAATTTTTACAAATTTTGCCCGAAGAGTGATGGTTTTCATGCAAATATTTTTGGACCAAGATGTTACTTACCTTCCTTATGAACATGCCTTCTCTTATGTCTATGTTACTAGTCAAAATTAAATTCAGGTTAAAACTTTTTAACCTACTGTATGTTGATTCTCAATTTCCTTTTGTCTCCTAGCCCCAATTCTGGGACAAAGAAAATTAACAATCAACCTTAGTTAAAAAGTTTTAACCTGGATATAAGTTTGACCTGTTATGAGTTGTAAAATTACAAGGGTGGAAAGCTTCATAGAATCCCCAAACAAATTAAAAGACATAGACGTATAAAATAACTAGTTTATTAAGTACCTACTTGATAAAATACTCTTGTTAAAAAAAAGGTCAATAAGTTGTGTTTTCTGTTGTCCCTTTATGTATGAGCAGTAAATGACAGTACAGCTGGATATAGTAGTTTTAAAACTGGCATTACAGAAAGAAAAGTCTGTGGGTTTGGCTGTGGGTTGGGGGTGTAGATGTGAGTATTCTTGCAAAGAAGGCAATTGTGTTCACTGTTAAACTGCATAGTTGTCTGTAAAGTTATCTGTAATTTTTGCATAATAATAATAATAATAAAAATAATAATAAAGTAAATGACAGTACACGATATATTAGTTGGTTGTGCTGCTGCAGTTCATGGTGCTTTGTTCTTTTGCTGTCTCTCTTTGGTCATGCTGATTATGTAAAGTTAAATGTACATGTGATTCAGAGTGAATTTTTTATAGGGAGAATGGTAAAACCAAATTAATCATTACTATGAATTTCAGTAAATTGTAAACAGTAAAAGTAATGTTATTATGTTATAATGAAAAAGATAATGAAGCATGAGAAAACTAAACTAAAGCGAAAATGGTAATTTCTCTATGGTTTTGTAGTTTGCTTGCAAGTTCTGAATTTATTTTATTACTCACAACATAGTTGTAATTCCTGAAATATTTCAAATATTCACTGTCCGTTTCCTTAGTTTGACAGTTTATAAAAGTCAGACTGTCCAGAATGAGGTAGGCCTATGTGCAATATTGTTGCCGCAACCACTCTCCTTTAATTCCCTCCTCTGTTTAAAAAAGCAATTTTAATTATTGTTTAAAAGTGTGCGCTTGTTCTAAAATTTTAGAAAGGAAATACTCCAAAGAGCATGAATGGATTACCATGGATGGAGTTATTGGAACAATAGGTATAACAGACTATGCACAGGTGGGTATAAAGAAAGTATTATTTATTATAGCAACCTTGTAACAGGGTTCAGATTCTGGGGGAGGTGGGAAGGAGCCTTATAACAGGGTTCAGACTGTAGGAGAGGTGGGAAGGGGACTTATAACAGAGTTCAGACCCTAGGGGATGTGGGAAGGAGCCTTATAACAGGGTTCAGACCCATGGGGCAGAAGGGATGTTTGACCCAAGCTTGGGCATGCATAGGGGTGCTTCTTACGTTTTGTACCCCAACAGGTTAATAAGGACATTAGGAGGAACATTATTTTATAATAACCTTGTACAGGACAACAATCCCTGTTTTAGAATCTTGTGTAGCATAAAACACATATAGTCACTATCTGTTGTTTCTTAACTAAAGAAAAATAAAATTTGACCCTATTTAGGAAAACTGGGCCTAATGGAAATAATGTTGAGCTAGTTTTCATTCACAACACATTCTGAAACATTGAAATGCATTTCAACGCATTCCCAATGCATTTTAAAGGGTTGGCAATGTTATCCAATGGAACTTAAAAATGTTGAAAACCATTTAAAAATCTTTCGGAAGCATTCGGGAATTGTTTTCAAAATGTTTTAGTATAACACCATTTCTTTGCATTGTCTGTCACATTGTCACATTTTGAAAATATAAAACTTAAAGCAAGCTTTCAGTGATGAAGTTTGCTTCTTCTTAATAGAATTTTAGTTATAAGAATTAGAAAGGTGGACTTACACTTTGGTGGGCTTAAAAGTGGTATTAGAAAGAATGTTGAAACATGCCATGAGTTGTTACAAGAAACATTTAGGAAAAAATATACTGAAAAATAATATAGTGGAAAACTTGAGCTGTAACTAAAGAAAAGACTAAATAAGAACTGTGGCCTTACCTGTAGTGGATTATTACTGTCATATAATAACCACATGCGCAGGGGTAATGACTACCTTGTATCCAGAAAAAAGAGATATATAACTGCTGTCTTAAGAAGGGGATTTTTTAACCAGTTGGTCTTGTAAGCTAAGTAGAATTTTTTGTTTTCTTTGATATTGTATCATTATAGGCCGATAAGTGGGTACTAGGGCACTTGCCTTTTTATTTCAGCCCATCAGGAAAAAAGGTTTATTGGCAGATTTTTGTGTTGGGCTACTCTTGAAATTATTAAAAACATTTAATTGTGCTTTCTATTTTTATTTAGAATGAGTATTTAAGGTAAAAAAAGAAGAGGGAACAAAATTAATATACATATACTAAGGCATGGAATTTTTAGTATGTCACTGATGTTTCCTTAACTTTAAAGAATCAATTAGGTGATGTTGTATATGTTGATCTTCCTGAAGAAGGACAAACATTTAATGAAGGAGGTACGATAAGAAGATAAATATTAATTGGATGTAAGCTGTCAAACAGTCAAACCTTTATGTAACACCCCTGTATTAAGACATCACCCATATGATACAGGCACCGGACAATTTTGTGAAAATTTTGCCTTTTATTTTCTGTAAAGTTGACATGTAGAAAGCAGTCACGTTTCTATAACAGACGCAGTCACCCTTGTGACTTCCCAAATTCACATTTCCTTTTTTTTTTACTTGTGTATAACCATCACCAAATTGGATTAAGATCAAACTATGAAAGTGAATCATAACAAACTTAATTCAAAAGCTCAGTACATTGTTGCTACCAGGGAAGGAGTATCAATCAAATACAAATACATGTACATTACACGACTTCAAATAAATGTCATCCTTGGCATCAGACATGTATTTTCCACAGACCTTGATAGAGTAGAAGTGAAAGTGCTGATCTTATCGAACAACTGTAGTATCTGTCCTCTACCATCTGCATTCGCTTTATGCTTTACTAGACTGTGTTTGGCTTTGGAATCTCTAAATAGAGTGATTATTTTCCCATAAAAGCATTATTCATTAACTTCCAAAAGAGTTCAAAGGAAACCCCTATATACCGGTCACCTTGTATATACAGTCACCTGCACATGTCCCGAAGGTGACTATACAGGTATATACAGGTTTGACTTAGACTGCTTGCAGTCCACCTTTTCTCTTAAAATCTGTCTAGTTCTTACCTCATCCAGCGCAATTGCAAACCACAACGTTATTATTACAATAAGGGATTGAGACCAGGCGAGAAAAGACAGACTGCTGACTCTTTTGTAGTAAACAAACCCTCCGTCAGCCCAGAAACGGAGTAACCGATTGGTCAGTTGCACAGCTGTTGACAGATAATTGACTGGTCTGTGGTGAGATTGCAAGCAATAAAAATAGTCATGCGTCACAACCAACTGCAAACAATAGCGAACCAAGCAGTAATCTCAGTAATAAAACTTTTAAGGATAACGTACAGGAGGAAACTGCTGTAAATTTCCTAAAGGGAAACGAATTCAAGGCAATCTTACCAGATTTAAAGGAAGTGTAATTTTTTCAGTTGTTTATGTTCTATCTATAAACCTTTTCAAGTTACTCGGGTTTAATTGATTAATTAAATTACCTTGACAGCTTCGTTGCCCCCAGACAAAACAAAAGAGTCAGCAGTCTCTTATTTTTTCTTCTCGGGCTTACGCCCTTGTTTCTCGTGGCTCACGGCTTTGCCGATCGCGTGCTTAGGTTTTGTGTGCAGTCACTTTGCAAAGAAAAATAAGAGACTGCTCGCAGTCTACATTTGACTGCACACTGTACCTTGGGCGCCCCCTAAAAGTGCACCTCTACAACCAGAAAATGTTAAGGCACAAGGATAGGTACAAGTAAACAGAGCTGTTAACTGAGGGAGGTGAAGGCTGCTTCTTCAAAGAAGAGGGCTAATTTATTTGTTAGAGCATGGATGATTTCAGCTGCTGATTGACAACAGCAAAAATAATGGAAGTTACTTTATATGTGGTAAAAATACATTTGCAGATTCCTTTGGTGCTGTTGAAAGTGTCAAAGCTGTTTCAGAAGTTTACAGTCCACTCACAGGAGAAGTGACCGAAATTAACAGCAAATTAAAAGACAAACCAGAACTAGTAAACAAGTCTCCTTATGAAGATGGTGTGTATTTATGATATGAAACTTCTCTTAACCCTTTAAGTACCAATAGTGACCAACATCAATTTTCTCCCAAT